TCCTCGCCTATTCTTCTTATACTCCTTGACTATAAGTCTTGGTATGGGGGAGTGTGAGGGAAAAGTTCAATAGATATGAGCAGCAATGGAGTATATAGCAACAATAGTTTCATTGCCGGCTACTTGTTAAGGTAGGGTAAGTCCAGCTCCCGCTGTTCCCCCCCTCCTTTTTCGCCCTACCCGAAAGTGATAGTTTGTTTGCCGGCTACTTGTTAAGGTAAGGTAAGTGTAGCTCCCGCTATTCCCGCCTTTTTTCCCCCACCCCGAAAGTGATAGTTTGATTGCCAGCTGCTTGTTAAGGTAGGGTCAGTCTAGCTCCCGCTATCCCTTCCCCTCCTTCTTACCCCCCCCCGGAAAGGTGACGTGCGGGGCTCCAGTCCAAACAGTAATCACTAGACTCACAGCTCCCAGCACTACTGTGAGTACATGCCTGCCTTGTATTCTAGTGGATTTATTGGCTGAAAGCTTCACTTTTGACCAATAATAAACTTAGTCCTTTCAATCTTGCTCTAAGTTGACTGTTCTAATAATCACCATGTCTTTTAGGTATTGTACTTATCATGGAGAGTGATTTCTTAAGCAGTGGGTGACCTATCTATCTTTCCAGCTTGGATGACAGAGAGGGTCACCTGCCTATCAACGAGTAGAATTGAAGGAGACGGACTAACGTTCTGAGATGTCCCAAATTCTGATCCACTTACCTGTTTGTGTATGCAAGTAGCAGGATATAACCCCTCATCATTGCAGTGGAAAAAAACCTGCTTTCCTGTCATCTGGACGGATTAATCACGGCTATACTGTGAAGAACTAGCCAGTGGGTTGTAACCAACACCTGCGACCCCCCCCGCCATCATCAGCAGCGGCTACGATTTCAACAACACACAGTGTCACCAACACCAGACACCCAAGTTTTATTTACATCAGCGTTGAATTCAGATATTTATATTTTTCATTGTTCATTTTCTTTAACGTAGGATCAATATTTCATATTTAAGTGTTTTATATTTTATATTTTCTAAATAATAAAGTGTTTATGTTTGCCAGTTTTTATTCTTTTTCTATACATTAATTTTCCTGAGGAGGAGCCAGCCTTAGTAATACTAACTGAATTTACACAAGCTACGTAGGCCAAATAATAATATAAAGCATTATATTTTCATTTTAGCTATTAATGAAAACATCTCCAATATAAAATTATATGATAATTAAATATAAAGAGAATATACGTTGCTTCCAGTTCAGGGGCGCAACACTATGCGCTTCCTTTTTTCGAGGAAGGAGTTAGAGAGGGCCAAGATCTTACAGGATAGTAATCACAGACTATAAAAGAATTTTGATCCGAGGAATGGGGTTAGGTTTGATGGATTTTAATTTAGTAAATTTTAGAAAAAGCGAAAAAAATATATGGAAGAGAAAATGGAATAAATAAAAATAAATGAGAAAGGATTTAGAGTGGAAATTTAACAAGATATTATTCCGGATTCAGAAATTGCAGGGAATTTATACCGAGATTAGAGTGACTATGTGAAGAAATAATTCGTAACCCCAGAGTGATATTGTTCAGGATGTGTAGTAGTTTTGTCTAAAAATATGTGGAATGATGGTGGTATGTGGGTAGTAGTAGTTGGGAGATAATATGTGGGTTATTTAATCCGATGGTTTCCAGTCTTGAATACACCAAGTGTTTGTCTTGTTATACAATGCCATTCATGAAGTGTGAATAAATAATTTACAAAGCCGTCAAGTAGAGAAATGAGACTGTAACATTTGAGTAACCTTATTCTGGAAACGTTCGCCACACACTGGCATTAATAGGGCAATACTAACCAACGCAGGATTTGTACATAGCTTCAAGAATAAGCATAAGAGGGTTCTCAAAGTCATAAGAGAGTTTATCCAGTAGTGGCCCACAGAAAGGCGGGAGCAAGAGCTGAGAATTAACCCCTACAACCATGTATAGGCGAGCACAAATATGAGAGTACTAACACATTTGATATACAGTGCACAACAATTTCGAACGAATAAATGTCCTTAATAATAATCTTTTTGTTGCAATGTTTCAGTAAAGAAGATGACAAGTATATGGTGGATGGCGTTTCCATTGTCTGTTGTGTGTTGGGGAGATGTGCAGATACCAGCACCTGTTGGTAGGTCATACAATGTACATGTATATGTAAGTTGTGTAGATACCAGCACCTGTTGGTAGGTCATGCAATGTACTTGTATATGTAAGTTGTGTAGATACCAGCACCTGTTGGTAGGTCATACAATGTACATGTATATGTAAGTTGTGTAGATACCAGCACCTGTTGGTAGGTCATACAATGCACTTGTATATGTAAGTTGTGTAAATACCAGCACCTGTTGGTAGGTCATACAATGTACTTGCATATGCAAGTTGTGTAGATACCAGCACCTGTTGGTAGGTCATACAATGTACTTGTATATGTAAGTTGTGTAGATACCAGCACCTGTTGGTAGGTCATACAATGCACTTGTATATGTAAGTTGTGTAAATATCAGCACCTGTTGGTACGTCATACAATGTACTTGTATATATAAGTTGTGTAGATACCAGCACCTGTTGGTAGGTCATACAATGTACATGTATATGTAGTTGTGTAGATACCAGCACCTGTTGGTAGGTTATACAGTGTACTTGTATATGTAAGTTGTGTAGTTACCAGCACCTGTTGGTAGGTCATACACTCGTGGCCTGGTGGCAAAAGCTCTCGCTTCACACGGTGAGATTCCGGTCTCGATTCCCGGCGAAGGGGCGGAAACGTCGGACGTGTATCCTTACACCGGTTGTCTCTGTTCACCGATCATTAAACTGGGTACCTAGGTGTTAGTTGACTGGTGTGGGTCGCATCCTGGGAGAAAACTGACTTAATTTGCCCGAAATGCTCTGCATAACAAGGGGCTTTCTATGTAGTAGCATGCCACTGATATCAGCTAGGCCTGTATACCTTGTACATGTACTTGTAGTAAAAAAAGATATTATTATTATTACTATTATTATTATTATTATTATTATTATTTATTGTTGTTGTTGTTGTTGTTGTTGTTTTGTTATTATTATTACTATTATATGTAAGTTTTGTAGATACCAGCACTTGCTAATAGGTCATAAATAACAAAAAAGGCACATTGTATTGTGAGAATTTTTCACCAAACTCTACGCCTATATTTATCAAAAGTATTAGGATCAATGTCAATATTATTATTAGTAATATTTAGGCAATATTACGAAATGTTTACTTATCTTTTAGTTTTTTATGTATACAAAATATTTCACGCATCCTCTGTGTCACCTGCAATGCCACTTAATTTCGCAGGATAAAGTGATAACATGGTGCCATAGGTTTGATGTTACGGGATGTTCTTTGTATGTAAAGTTATGTGGCAGATGGCAATGCGGTGGCTCAGGAGGTTTTTCAGTGTTGATGCTCAGTTTACTTCTCTGCAGCGTCTCTTTTTATGCTCTGTTAGAAATCTTTCGGAGCTCTGTCAAACGAGGGCCTGTAGCAACAGAATGTTAGGTGTTTGCTCAAACTCTCTTCAAGTAAATTCTGATGAAGTATTTGTCACCTACATGGTACATGGAGACATGAAGTTCTTAGATAGGATTGTTGATCTATACAGGTTAGCGCTGCTCTCTAATACGGATGAGAACCGCTCTCGAGTACGGGTGAACGCTGTTGTCTAGTATGGGTGAGCGCTGCTTTCTCGTACGGGTGAGCGCTACACTCTCGTACGGGTGAGCACTGCTCTCTAGTACGAGTAAACGCTGCTCTCTATTACGGGTGATCACCGCTTTCTAGTATGGCTAAGCATTGCTTTCTAGTCGTTTAAGTTTTCTTTGGTCCTCTTTCTCACCATTTCGCAGGCTGTCATGTACTCGGCTGTTGCGACTGTCAGCTGTGTATTTGTCTCTGCTACTTGGGTGATGTACTTCGTGGTTTGTAACACTAACCCGTGAGACAGTCTTTCTCTTGTGTTGTTGACATCATTATTCAAGACGTGGTTTTCTGGTAATAATCTTGCAGTATAATGCGTGTTGAAGTTCATGGTATAAATTACTAGTTCACTCAACGAGGTGGCAGAGTTAATATCCAATTTTGATTTTTAACTGATATCGGAATTTTCATTAATGGAGGTTATTCGACTTTTGTGGGAGTTGTGTGATTTGTGGTGAATTTTATTAAGGAGGATTTTGACTGGAAGGAGTGTAATAAGAACTGATCATGATTATCTCATTTTTAAATTTCCATTAATTTTCTGTATGTACATTCCACGCCAGTGTGAAATATGAATTGCGTTAATATGTATATGTATGTATGTGTCTACATACAGCTGTATATCTCTAGAATTTGTAAAAGAAGTTGTATTATTTTATTAGTGAAGCATCTTGGCTGCTTATTGCTGCAGTATATTTAACTTGTTATCAGTAATAATTATTAAAATTTATCTCTGTAATAAAATATCTATATTAATTATCCTCTTGGATTTAATGAACAGTAATTATTAATAAGTAATCTTTTATTCTCAACTGAATTTCGGTGTCACTTGTACTACGGTCAGTATACGAGCCACGAGTGATGGGGAACTTGTCTTGATGAATTATGCTGTTAGTTTTAGCATGTAATAGTAAGTTGTGGAGATACCAACACCTGTTGGAAGGTCACACAGTGTAGCTGTTACGTAAGTTGTGTACATACCAGGGCCTGGTGTGTGTGTGTGTGTGTGTGTGTGTGTGTGTGTGTGTGTGTGTGTGTGTGTGTTTTGTATGTGTGTACTAGCATGTGCTTGCATGTGTACTCGCATGCAATTTTTTTAAAGAAAGTTCTGTTTCTTTAACATGAAATCTCGTTATGTCCCTCTGTATTTTTTCCTTATCTCGAGATTCGGCGACAATCAGTAAAATTCAATCACTTGTTTATGATTCCCATCTTCATTATTTTTCGAAATTAAGAATATATATTTCACTTTCTCAACAGGTAAACAGGACACGAAGTGGTCCATGATGCGCCTGCAGCAGACTGGTCTCTCAACACAGGTGATGGAGGCTTGGCTGGTCACACAGGTGGTGGAGGCTGTGTTGACCTCAACACAACATGGCAGCTACTCTGTAATTTTCATTACGGACGGTACTACCTCACCCTCCACTATCTTCATGGCAAGTGTTGCAGATTATTTATCACCCAGTATGAGTGTATATTTTCTGTATATTTTTTATTAACACATCGGCCGTTTCCCACCGCGGCAGGGTGACCCTAAAAAATAAAAAAAGCACTTTCAATATCCTCATTCACTCCATTACCGTCTTGCCAGAGGCGCGCCTACACTGTAGTTAAAAACTGCAAAATATCTCCACCCTTCCTTCAGAGAGCAGGCACTGTACTTCCCACTTCCAGGACTCAAATCAGGCTAACTGGTTTCCCTGAATCCCTTTGTGAATGTTATTTTGTTCACGCCCGAACAGCACGTCAAGTCATAAAAACCATTTGCCTCCACTCGCTCCTATGTAACATGCTCGTGCACAGTTACTGGAAGTTTAAGCCCCTAGCTCGCAAAACCTCCTTTACCCTCTCCCTCCAACCTTCCTAGGACGACCCCCACCCCGCCTTCCTACCCCTACAGATTTATACGCTCTCCAAGTCATTCTATTTCGTCCCATCCTCTCTAAATCCGAACCACCTCAACAACCCCTCCTCAGCCCTCTGGATAATGCTATTAGTAATCCCACACCTCCTAATTTCCAAACTGTGGATTCTCTGCATCATATTCACATCACACATTGCCCTCAGACAGGACATATCAACTCAACTGCCTCAAGCTCTTTCCTTGAACCATTCCCCAACCATGCTTCACACCAATGTAAGTGCTTTGGTACCATTATACTCTCATACATCCCCCTCTTTGCTTCCATGGATAATGTTCTTTGTCTCCAGAGACTCTTCAGTGCAACACTTACTTTTCCCCCTTAATCAGTTCTATGATTCACTTCGTCTTTCATAGACCCATCTTCTGAAAAGTCTACGTCCAAATATCTGAATACATTCACTTCCTGCATACTCCCTCTTTCCAATCTGACATCTAGGCTTTTATTACTTGACTTTTTTTATTATCTTCATCACCTTGCTCTTTCCTATGTTCACTTTTCATTTCCATCTTTTACATACCCTTCCAAATTCATCCATCAACCTCTGCAACTTCTATTCAGAATCTTCCAAAAGCACAGTGTCATCAGCAAGAAAGCAACCGTGACAACTACCACTTTGTGTTTGATTCTTTATCTCTTAATTCCACACCTCTTGCCAACACCCGAGCATTCACTTCTGTTACAACTCCATCTATAAATATACTGAACAACCATGGTAACATCACACATCCTTGTCTAAGATCTACTTTTACTGGGAAATAATCTCCCTCTCTCTCCTACATACTCTAACCTGAGCCTCACAATCCATGTAAAATCTCTTAACTGCTTTCAATAACCTACCACCTATTCCGTACACCTATTCTATCGACCAATCGTAACCCTGCGATCCCCGTTGGGGAGGGAAACCTTTTTCTTCTGCATTCGCCGTTTTCCACGCTCGTTCACGATGCATTTCTCAAATCGTGTGAAGGTCAATCCAAGAAGTGGGACAGTAAATGACTCGTCCAAGCTGGCACTAGCATCTGCCGTTAGCGTCAGGTTGCAGGTAAATTTTAATGCTATTCTCACGTTCCAATTGGCTTTTATTGTAATCTGCACTGACGACATTGATGGTGAAAAGTTAATCACCACCAACGCTACAACCACTCTGCATGAACAAGGATTTCAAGTCATGTCTTGATAAATTAGACACATGTGCAACACTTGGGTATCTTTATTGAAGAAACGTTTCGCCACACAGTGGCTTCATCAGTCCATACAAAAGAGAACATTGAAGAACAGAAGGAGTTTGAGGTAATCAGTCTCTCAGCCTTGAGTCGAAGTGGTCAGTCCATCAATCTTGAAAAGAATACATCATATGAGAGGAGAAGTAGCTTATATACCGTAGGCAGGAGAGGTGCAACAGTCGTAGGTGGTATCACATTTGTCCAGTGTGGAAGTAGGTCGTGCCCAAGGGTTAGGCAAGTGAAGAAATCCCAAGTATTAAGATCCCAAGATGTTGCTGTGTCAGACAGAAATGTAGATGAATGGTTCAGAGAACCGACAAGTTGATAAATTAGACACATGTGCAACACTTGGGTATCTTTATTGAGGAAACGTTTGGGCACACAGTGGCTTCATCAGTCCATACAAAGGAGAACATTGAAGAACAGACTGATGAAGCCACTGTGTGGCGAAACGTTTCCTCAATAAAGCTACCCATGTGTTGCACATGTGTCTAATTTATCAACCGGTCGGTTCGCTGAACCATTCATCTACAAGTCATATCTTCCCCAGCTTTGAGGAAGAAGAGAACGGCGTTCCTCAAACGACTAGACGAAGTTATCACAACTCAGCTTTTCGAAGAAATTAAGACATCAGTAGAAGACTAGAACCCTTGGGCCCCTGAGTAACACATTACCAAAATACCGAACGCTTCTTCAATACTAAAGGTCACCTTCACTGACGTCAACATGGTAGCCCAAGCTCTCGCCGAGGGACTGACAATTCATTACTTCCACATCAACCCAAAATACGTTGAGGCCCAGATATTCCAACACATCATACAATGTTACAGCTGCTACTCTTTCTTGTATACCACCCAGGATTGTTCTCTCAAGGGAAAAAATTCTGCTCGACCTGCGGCAACGAAGGACATGATTTCAAGGCTTGTTCCACCCCCACTCCACCAAGGTGCCTGAACTGTAAGAATGAACACCACACACTCGCTGCCGAATGCCCGACAACAAGAGAAATACTCAAGAAAAACCTAGAACAACAAAAGAAATCTGCACCATCTCCAATATATGCTACAATCACAAAACTGCAAGCAGACACCACCAAAATATTTAAGGCCACTCAGACTTCATCCTCCACCAAAAACACATTACCGTTAATACCTGCCGATGAATCTACAAAAATCCACTACTGCATGATGTATGCCCATATACACAACAATGCTATACTTGGAGTCTTCAATATCACCATCAATGAACTCTTTCGGCCAAACAACATGCCCAGTTGTACATTCCCGGAATCTTCACCTTCTTCAGACATTACCAAGACCACCACAAATATTGTCAATATCTCAACACCTACAAGTCACTCAAGCAGCTTCACCACCACCATCATCTCTTACAGGTGACGAGTCGCCTCAGAATCCCACCAATGAGATGCTTCCACCGACTTTCTCCACCAAGGAAACGTTCCAATCAGAGACCTCAACCCAGTGTCCCTCTGCTGCAAACAGCACCACTGCCAGCACACCAATGACAGGCACAGCCACTGCTACTCCCCAACCACCGGCACATCAAGAGGACAACTGGCCCAGAGCAAAAACCCGTCCACATCCGCCATATAAGTATGCCAAATGGAACTGGCATAAAGTTCTGCACAACGGACCAATTCAATGATGCTTTACATTGCAGAGAACTCCACACTCGACTCCATGAGGGAACTGTCAAGTTCACTGGCGAGCCTGAATATCTGTGCAGCACCGAAGAAATACTCGAGGACATCGCAGAGATTCTGGAAGACAACTATACCATGGATCAGACTTATCCAAGAATCAAGAACGAAATTTAAAAGTATAAAAAACGCTACTGCCTGCTAGCAAGCTTCCTTCCACCAATCACCATGAAGCTGAGCTTTCCCAGCTCTCTGGCGGCTGCCTAAAGCTTGGGTGTGGCTCAAGAGGACACTGCAATGGTTCCTTTCTCAGCCCTTCCTGACACTGCATGCTACTATGCAGTTTCATCAGCCTTCCTTGCATGCCCTTCAAGACACTTCCATGACTGAGAGCCAAGGCCGGGTCACCATCTGGAAAAGACCTGGGCCGACAAATGTACCGGCTAATGTACAACAACAACAACTTGCAACATCTATCACATTTCTTCCCTATCCACTTTATCATATGCCTTTTCCAAATCCATAAATGCAACAAAAATATCTTTACTTTTATCTAAATACTGTTCACCATTATTCTTCACTGTAAACACTTGGTCTACACATCCCCTACTCTTCCCAAAGCCTCTTTGCTCATCTGTGATCCTGATCTCCATTTTACTTTTAATTATTTCAATACACGTTACCAGGTATAATCAACAGTCTTATTCCCCTATAATTTTTACATTCCATTTTGTCCCCTTTGCCTTTATGTAAAGGAGCTTTACATGCTTTTTGCCAATCCTTAGGCACCTTCCCTCTTGCATATATTTATTAAATAAAAGACCCAATCTTTCGAAAACTATATCCTCATTTGTTTTTAACATTTCTGTCTTGATCCCTTCACCCCCCCCCCAAGTGCTTTACCCTCTTTCACTCTACCCACTGCCTCACGCACTTCCTCACACTCACATCTGGCTCATTCTCACTCCTATAATATATTGTACTATATTATTAATTCATAATATTTTTTAATACGCCTGACATTTCTCACCGAGGCAGGGTAACCCAGACAAAAATTGAAATGACTTCCAAACTGTAATATTTCCACTGACACTCTACCTCTTACCTCCTGAATTAATGCCCATTTAACCGGTTTCCCTGAATCCTTTCAAAAATAGATCATTGAACGCACTCAGAAAGTACATTAAACTGCAGTGACTGCTTGACTCCACTCTGGGTTGAACGCTCGATCCCCTAGCACTCAAAATCTCCTTCCATCCCTTCATGTCACCTACCTGGAGTCTACCTGGAGGTCAATTTGGGAATCAACGCCCCCGCGGCCCGGTCCACGACCAGGCCTCCCGGTGGATCAGGGCCTGATCAACGAGGCTGTTACTGCTGGCCGCACGCAACCCAACGTACGAACCATAGCCCGGCTGATCCGGCACCGCCTTTAGGTATCTGTCCAGCTCACTCTTGAAGACAACCAGAGGTCTTCCCTGGTGGGAGGCTGTTGAACAGTCTTGGGCCCCGGACACTTATTGCGTTTTCTCTTAGTGTGCCAGTGACGCCCCTACTTTTCACTGGGGGTATGTTGCATCGCCTGCCAAGTCTTTTGCTTTCGTATGGAGTGATTGCTGTGTGCATAT